TACCACAACTACACCAACAACAACCAAATATACCATAACAGTCCATTCATGGGCACCATACACAACTCATAAATTAATTACTCACACTCCGGCAAGGAGGTACCACAATAACCAACCAAAATCTGAAGCACAACACTTCAACAAAAGTAAATCACTATAATGAATTGAATGTCTGGCATGGTACTGAATTATTTAATAACTAATTATACTCTGACAGAAACTAAACTACTTTAACAACTAAGTATAATCTAGCAAAGACATAAACATTTGCTAACTTGTATTTAATAACTGAAATATAAATGCCAAGACAAACCTAGGTTCACATACCTTGTTACTAAGATAAATAAGGATACTTTTTCCTCATATCTTTCTCGACCTCCCATGTAGCCTCTTTTGAATCATGATTACTCCACAAAACTTTTACCGATGTTATATATTTTGTTCTCAACTTTCTTACTTGCCTATCAGAAATTTCTATAGGTGCCACTTCATTAGTCAAGTCTTCTTTAATTTCTATGGTATCGGCAGGTATTATATGCGACTCATCATTAATATACTTTCTAAGCATAGACACATGAAAGAAAGGCTGAACAGAGGACAATTCAATGGGCAACGCTAGTTCATAAGCCGCTTTTCCCTTCTTTTCTATAATCTCGTAAGGCCCGATAAACCTAGGACTAAGTTTCCCTTTCTTACCGAACCTCATAACTCTTTTCATTGGCGAAACTTTCAAAAACACCTTATCACCAACTATGAACTCTAAGTCAAGATGCCTCTTGTCAGAATAGGACTTTTGACGACTTTGAGTCGCTTTCATTCATTCTCTGATTAGTTGGGATTTCTCCAAGGCCTCACAAACAAACTCTAGACCAATCAACGACACCTTTGCTGGTTCAAACTAACCCACTGGATACCTACATCTTCGCCCATATAACGCTTCATAAGGATCCATACAAATGTTGGCCTGATAGCTGTTATTGTAAGCAAATTATATAAGTGGCATGTGATCATCCCAATTACCTCCAAAATCTATAACATATGCTCGCAACATATCTTCGAGAGTCTGAATGGTCTTTTCTACCTGACCATCAGTCTGTGGATGGAAAGCGGTGCTCAAATTGACCTTGGTACCTAATCTTTCCTGAAATGCCTTCCAAAAATGTGCTGTGAACTGAAGGCCTCTATCGGATATGATTGAAATTGGAGTACTATGCAATTGGACTATTTCTTTGATGTACAACTGCGCATACTGCTCTGTGGAATCTGTCGTCTTTACTGGTAGGAAATGGGCAGACTTTGTCTACAATAGTCCAAATTGAATCATGTTTACGGTATGTGTCAAAAAAAAAGCTACTACGAAATCCATATTAATCATCTCCCATTTCCACTGTGGTATCTCTATATCCTGAGCTAGGCCACCAAGCCTCTGATGCTCAGCTTTGACTTGCTGGCAATACAAATATTTGGCCACATGATCTGCTACTTGCTTCTTCATGCCTTTTTACCAATACAATTGTTTCAAGTCCAAATACATTTTGGTAAACCTGGGTGGATAGCGTACCTCGAGCTGTGAGCTTCTTCCATTATGGCCTTTCTAAGACCATCTACATCAGGCACACATAACCGATCATTCAACTTCAAAATTCCACTACTTCCTAGAGTGAAAGCAATGATTTCTTTATTACTGACTCTCTTTAAGCCGGTAGGTAGCCAACTCCACAACTTCATCATCAAATGCCTTCATCACTCGGAAGGCTTTCTTGACACCCTCCAGCCATAACATTGGATCTTCATCAACTATAGTACCAAGGAACAATGGAGGACTCGACTTTAAAAATTCATTCACTCTCGAGGACTCTGAACTATTCTGTCTATTTGATTGAGGTGGAATCTCAACTCTTCTCTCGTTCTGGTTGGCCATGAAGGCTTTAAACATCTCCATAGCACTGTTGACAGCATTAAACACCTGACCCACCTCTGGAGATATAGCTATTTGAGCCGGAACTGCTGTTGGGCTGGAACTGGATCCTAGGGTACTTGCTCATCATGATCAACCCCTTCTTCATGTTCAACCCGAGGTACTTGAACCCCCTTTGTGGATTTACCCTTCCTTTTCTGAGTTTAAGCCTTCTTAGTTCTACCTTGAGCCACAATAGTAGCAATAGTTTCTTGAGCAGAATCCTAAGTGTCGGTATCAGAGTTGCGAGTGCGAGCAATTTCTGCGAGTTTTGGAGAAACGATTACATTAGATAATTTTTTAGAGGTAGGCTCTACTTCACGATCTAAAGTATGAAAAAAAAAAGAGACTTTTCCTAAATTTTGGTAGCCTCTTATTTATAAGTATGGCGCGCTTCATACCCATAAATAAGACTCTACTAATATGATTTTATAGACCCCTAGGACTCCATAAACATGATGCTTTGATACCAAGTTTGTCACGACCCATATTCTGAACAGACCGTGATCGGCACCCGGTTGCTAAATTTGACCGAGCGAACCGTTTGCTCTTATCAAAATTATTATAACTCAAACTTTATATGCAACAAGGCAATACTTTAACTAAATACTTTTAATTAATTTGAATATCTAACATAAACCAACTCAAAAACTTTATTCATAGTAACTTCTCAAATACTGCAAAGTTATTATCAAAAACACTTGAATCTTAATCCACCGATTGTGCCTATGAAGCCTCTATTTATAAACCGATGCACTGCTCAGGACATGAGATTTTCTAGCCAGTTCTCCAAGTAAATAAAGAAATAACTAAATAATGACGACTTAAAGGAGTACTCCACGAACAAAAGCGGAGCTCACCAATAGCACTAGAAGTGAGGGAAGTCCTAACCTGTAGCCTGCTCGCCTGCAAAATCGGTTCTTACGTTGTACCGCAGACCAACGCAGGTTCCCAAAAGAGAACATCAGTACCATCCATTGTACTCAATGAGTCTCACGACAGTGACGAAACTTAAATAAAATATACATTACGAGCAAAGATTCTAAATGCATGGAAAACATAAAGCTTCTACGAACAGTTCTAAAAATAATTGCATAACAACATTTTATGAATATTCTAAAAGAAATTCTTTTCTTTTTCTTTCTTATATAAAAGAAAATACTTCACTTTATGCTTTGGGAGTTCCAACTATCCTGACTTATTTCTGTCTTAGTCACCGTGTGATCGGCACGGGTTCGATCCCAACCTGATAGAATAGACCAAATCTACGAGGTGCCACTCGCTTCATGGTTCTCAGCGCTCATGTATCATACCTTAGCATGGCTAGGCAAATTCTCAGCAACGAGATCCTTGGCTCGTGTGCTCCCTACGTTGGCACAAGTAGTTTCAAGAAGTCAACGCCTTAGTCAGGACCCTCGGTCTGGACGATGACCCCTTCTCAGAATAGAGGATACTCCCAAAAATCTTATCTTTCTAAAACTTCTTCTTGTTTGAAAGTGATCTTTCAGTATTCATAATAATATTCTTGAGTGTATGCATCGCATAATCATGGAATAAAATTACTCAAAGTATTTTTAAAAGTTCTATCTAAGTTTTGAAACTTTAACATGTAAGATCATGTAATAAAGCATAAAAATATGAAAAATAGACGATTATACTTCTCGAGTAAAATATATAAGCTTTAACTAGAATATACTTAATCAACATGTATTCACTCGTTCCAATTAAGCACATGTTGACTCTTTAAAATATTTTATCAAACACTTTGTGGGCATGTTTTTGTGAGTAGAACCACTTTAGTAAAGGGTTATATATCCACTCACCTCAAAATTCCTCGAGCCAATACATAGGCTCCGGTCCAATTTATACCCGTCAAATAATCGATTTTACAACAACCATGCATTTTAGTTAATTTCAAAGTTTCACACCTAAACATTGAACTTACTGTTGATACAGAGAAAGAACTGAATTAATTATCCAATTCTTATACTGTTGAGAATAGGAAATTTTATATACCTGAGTTCAAGAATTAGTAATATGTAAAGAAACCTAGAACTTCCCGTTACCTACGTGAGTAAGTAGCCTCTGTTTCGTGGTTCTCTTTTCGTGAGAATGAACGGAACGCTTGTTCTGTTTTCGTATTTAATCCTTTTGCCTTCCAACAACTCTTTACTGGCTTTTAGGCTTCGTCCCCCCCCTCCCCCCCCCCTCCCCCCCCTTTTTTTTTGTTTTATTGCTTTTTTTTTTTGCTTTGTTTTGACTTATCTAATAATTAATGATATCCATTTTTAATAATTAATAATATTAAAATTATTAATATTTCTCTAATTGTATATCTAATTATTTATAAATAGAGAAGTAACTCAAAAGTCAATCACAAATGTTTAAATCCGTAATAAAAGTATAATTTTTATACACTTAAGGCAAGATATAAAAAAAATTAAATTCTATATTTAGTGTGTCTTGAAACTTTTATAGATATGAGAAATGTTACAAAGATAATATCGAACGAACAATTATCATATTCAGTAAGAGATAGACGAGAGTAAGTTTGGCTATGAGCAAAATGAACTTCAAATTTCCTTTGCTAAAAAAGAGAAGTATCCTTTTAACATGCAACTAACTCTAAAATTTATTTCTTAAGGGTCAAATGATATGTTTAAAAATTACTAATAAAAAAACACAACCATATGGAGAAAGAAGATACAATAAAAATTAACATGTGTCAATTTATAGACGGTATTTGACTAAAGAAAGAAAAAAAAAACTTTTAAAATTTATGGTGTAAACACATGAAAGGTAAAGTAGTAAGTTTAAAGTGTAATGGTTTTTCAAATAAGGAAATATAATATATTTTTTTTTGTCAGACTAAGAAAAAGGACACGAAAAATTGAGATAGAGGGTAGTATTTTCTTAGTTTTTTTATTTAATAATTCTCATTAATTATAAAGATATACTATTAAAAAAGGTATTTTGCCGTTTCGGACTTTTTAGTTCAAGGCGTCTTTATAACGATGATACAATAAATATACACATACACAGATATAAATATACAGATATGGAGAAACATAGTTTTCATTAAAACTCTTCAGAATCTAAAAAAAAGCGTTCATATGAAAAGGGGGATACCAATTTGTGAACTCGCTCAAAATAAAACAGAAGGGATATCAACAAATTTCAATTCAGTTTGAGGCTTTGAACTTCTTCACGACACCACTGTTCCTCAACGGCCAAATCGAGCTTTAGGTTCTAGCTAAACCCTATTACTTTTGTTATAAGAGAATACAAATTGCAAATTCAGCTGCAAAAATGCATTGTTTCTTCTCGAATTACATAATTATCCCTCTTTCTATTGTTCTTTGTGCATTAGAACATTGAAATGTTAATTATCATACTGCAGAGTTAAAGTAGTAATTTTCATCGAGTCAATTACCAAATCTTTACCTTTCAGTTTCTGGCCATCTTAAAGGTAAGCTTTTGATTTGATGTCTTGAATTCAAGTAGCCCCACCCCTAGTACGGTTCTTTGTTAGCGTATCAGAAAAAAACTCGATTAAGTAATATCTGTAGCAAATGAATGATGGATTATTAACAAAGAGTGAAGTTAGTTTCTGTTTGGAATGAGTGAACTTAGCTTGCAGTCTCATATGGCCAATACTTGTTTTATTTTTTGGGTTGCAATAGTACTTCTGGCAGGCTGAAAGTTAACACTCTTATCCAATTGTATATCAAGTGAACATTCAAGTTACTAAGCAAATTTTACTGAAAGCAATGAATTAAAATTTTAGATATCTTAAATATGCCGTTTTGCAGATAACCGTTGATACAGAATTCTGAATAATTTTGCAACGAAATGTTTCCTCTTGCAATGAATTCATGGTTATGCTCTATTATCTGCCAATCTCTTCAGGTCGTGACTAAGTTGTTCATAAGAACGCAGCTTTTGCAGTCTGTATTGGAACATTGGGGGAGGACTACAAATGACTAGCAGACAGAGAATCCTCGGTGGAGGGGTTCAGCATTTGTTGGACTATCTGAGGCGAATGCACTCCGAAAATCCGGCATTCTTCTATGCTGTTCAAGATGATAACGGATCTTCTAATGGAAACATTTTTTGGGCCGATGCAACTGCCAGGATGAACTATCACTATTTTGGGGACACTATCAAATTGGACACTTCCTATCGAGCTAATTGCTATAGCGTACCTTTTGCCACTTTCACTGGTTTAAATCATCATGCCCAGCCTGTTCTCTTTGGCTGTGCTTTGCTTTTCAGCGAGTCTGAGACCTCACTTGTCTGGCTCCTCCAAACTTGGCTTCAAGCAATGTCTGCACAGAAGCCTGTTTCCATCACAACTGACACGAATCATCTCATACAGATGGCTATTGGTCATGTTCTGCCAGAAACGCGCCACCGTCTTTGTAAATGGAGCATACTTCGAGACACCAAGGAGAAGCTGACCCATGTATGTCAAACACATCCAACCTTTGAAATTGAATTTATGAAGTGCATCAATGAAGCAGAGACACTTGAGGAGTTTGAATCTCAGTGGAAGTCACTCCTAGAAAGATATTACCTCAGGGATAATGAATACCTTCAATCAATTTATATTGCTCGCCACCACTGGGTTCCTGTTTTCATGCGAGAGACATTTTTTGGGGATTTTTTAAGTGATGAAGACAATGATGCCAAAAACACTTTCTTCGATGGGTTTGTGAATGCTTCTACCTCTATCCAGTTATTAATTAAATACTATGAAAAAGCCATTACAATCTGGCATGAAAAGGAATTTAATGCAGATCTTGACTCTAATAATACTACACCAATTCTAAAGACACCATCGCCTATGGAAAAACAAGCAGCTGATCTCTATACGAGGAAGGTGTTCATGAAATTTCAACAAGAGCTGGTTGAGACCCTTGCAAATCCTGCAACTAAAATTGGTGACTCTGGAGCAATCACAACATATCATGTTGCAAAATTTGGGGAAGAGCACAAGGCGCACACGGTTAGGTTCAACACACTTGAGTTGACAGCTAACTGTAGCTGTCTAATGTTTGAATTTTCAGGTATAATTTGTAGACATGTGTTATCTGTGTTCAGAACCAAAAATGTTCTTACGCTTCCTTCCCAATACATTTTGAAACGTTGGACAAGAAATGCCAAGACTGGTGGTGGAGGCACTATAGAGGAAAATCCTTTAGAGTTACCTAGCAATTCACAAGAGTCTTTAACTATGCGTCATAATAGTTTGCGGCAGGAGGCTATTAAATTTGTTGAAGAAGGGGCTAAATCTATTCATAGTTATAATGTCGCAATGAATGCTCTGAAAGAGGCTGCAAAAAAGGTTTCTGCTGCAAAGAAGAAAAACACTGACAAAACTCAGGTGACCAACATGGTAAATGGATGCAATCAAGGAGTGGATGAAGGAGATATTGATCAAGCAGATTCAGGTCAATCCAAGGTAAGTTTTCAATTAAAGTTCCTCACTTTCTATGATCTGAATTTTGTCCATCTAATGATGTTTCATTCCCTTGCTATCGAATTTTTGCTATACAACTATGCCCTTTCTATGTGGATTTCCCCATTCCGTCCTATATGCCTTTCTAGAACCCGTCTAAGTAATGCGCGCAGTAGAAAGTTCATGATGCAGAACTCATTTGGTTGACTTATTCTAATCCAACTGGCTTTTAGTTTCCAAGTGATACTGTAATCCTCCGAAAGTTGATCCTAACTGTTGCCATGAATATAGATGAACAAGATAAAGATTGATATGATTAATTTCACCAGATTCATGGATTTCTTTAATGCTATAACTCGTCTGATATTATATGTTCTCCTTTTCTAATCCAAGTCGAGGCTCATAGGTCTGTGCAATATACTTTATTTATTTGTGCAAAACATAAATAACATTTATTCATGGTTTTTTGAGTCATGTTCGTGTTCTTGTTGTGGATTTGGTAACAATCTACATGGTCTGCCAACAATCCAGAAATCACACCCCTTCAATATGTTAATGACACGCTAGTGTTCTGTGAAGCTGATTGAGAACAACTGAAAATTCTGAGGGTGATATTTATCCTATTTGAATCTATATCTTGGTAGCATATTGACTGGAGCAAGAGTTATCTATATCAAGGTTCCTGCTATCCAAAACCTAGTTGACATTCTTGGAGTAAGAATTGGAGAAATACCTACCATGTATCTTGGAACGCCTCTGGGGCAAAGAGGAAGTCAAAAGAAATTTGGAATGGTGTCTGGAAAAGTGTGAAAAGAAACTAGTCAACTGAAAAAGCTAATTTCTTTCGCTGAGTAGCAGACTAGTTCTAATCAATAGTGTACTGGATGCCTTCCCCAATTCCATGATGTCTCTATTTCCTATCCCTGCAAATGTGGTCAAAAGAATAGATGCATTGAGGAGGAACTTTATTTGGCAACGCAACCGTTACAAAGACAAATGTCACCTGGTCAAATGGGACTCCCTTTTTACCAACAAGAACGAAGGGGCGCTGGGCATTAGGAACTTAAGAATTTAGAATCACAGTCTAATGACAAATTGGCTCTGGAGATTTGCTTCAACTGAACACTCACTATGGAAAAAGGTCATTAGGGTGAAGTATGGATTGGAAGGTAATTGGACAACCAACTCTACAACCCGTCCTTATGGGGTCAGTCTATGGAGATCAATCAGGAGCTTGTGGCCAAAGTTCATAAACAAATCCAGATTCAAGGTGAGCAATGGAATGGAAACTTCTTTCTAGGATGACATGTGGCTAGGCCAACGTCCTATGAAACAGATTTTCCCAGACATTTACAACCTGAACCAACAGCAAGGAGCAACTGTGGGAGAGATTTTCCCAGACATTTACAACCTGAACCAGCAACAAGGAGCAACAGTGGAGAGGTATGATCAAACCAAGGATGGAACCTTAGCTATAGAAGATTATTCGATGATTGGGAGATTGTCCAGCGAACAGAATTCTACAACACCTTGGATCAATTCAAAGGGACACTTCTGAAGATCATATGTTTTGGTAAAGGGATAGGCAAGGTAAATTCTGAGTTAAGTCTGCCCACAAGGAATATAACACCTCTAATAATCAGATTGGAAGTTGGCCTTGAAAACTAATTTAGAAAGTCAAAATTCCATACAAAGTTGCTTGTTTCACGTGGCTGCTAGCCAGAAAAGCATTCTTAACTCAGACAATCTTATCAAGAGGGGCTTCCACCTATGCTCCTGATTCTACTTATGTGGAGAAGAGGCAGAGACAATCAATCTCTTTTTTGCACTGCAGGATAACAGAACAAATTTGGAGGATTTTTTTTAATTTGAAAGGAATCATGTGTTTAATGCCAATGAGTACTATTGAAGTTCTAGAATGCTGGAACAGATTCAGTAGCTCCCCTAATCAGAAAGAGAGATGGAAACTTGTTCCAGCTTGCATTTGGTGGATTGGTTGGAAAGAGAGAAACACAGATGTTTTGAAGATAGACATAGTACTATCCAGAAAATGAAAATGCATTGTTTAGCTCTTTTTTATTTTTGGTATAAGCAATAGTACATGGAAGATCCAGAATATTTTGTTGATATCTTAGGATCCTTCTAAGTAGATTAAGGACTTGGAAATCTTCCTGTACCAACCACCCCCTGTAATTATGGATGGCTGTATCTGTTTTGATGCAGTTAATATATTTACAACAAATGTTACCTCAAATGTTGGTAGGAACACAATTTTATCACTGAGGGAGTGCATCGCGGTTCAACTATGATTCACATTTAGGAAATAACCTCGAAGGGTGTGTTGGAATTTCATTCTGTACAAAATATGATAGGGCCTTTTTTTTATTCAAAGAAGACTAACACAAAACTATCAGTATAAAATTTTAGTAATGTAAGCTGCTGATTTATGGTTTCAGAATGACATCCATTGCGTACATTGAAAACTAGATTGTAGGTAGTATACTTATGAATAGAGTTTAGTGGCATCATTAGTACTGTAATTAACTCTTTCTCTTGAAGTTTTCCGTACTCATCTACATCATCCCAGCAGGTATTGGATTTTAATCTCCTCCCCTACATGCAGCCATTTGCTCCATTCCGGTGTATGTCCACTGTTAAGTAAATTTTATCCTATTCCCAACTTAGAGCTGCTCCAAAGTCTATCAAACATTTAGAATAACAAGCCGGCAGAGAAAAAAATAGAGAGAGAGAGAGATGAAATTAGATATTCAAAGATGAGAGCAGGGCGGGAGAGACTGTATATTGGAGTGATTTAAGAGAGAAATCCTAAATGTTAATTCTATGGAAGATGTGAGCTCATATGAGACTGGACAAATTAGAATGATCAAGTCGGATAAAGATAGCAAGTATTACATAGAGGATAAGACGAGAGAAGGTCAGCTGAGATGGGTTGAATATGTCCAAACTCCAACGTAGACCTCCAAATGAACCAATCAGTAGATATCATAATACAGTACGGTGATTGAAGGTGCTAAAAAGGAACAAGGTAGACCTAAAATCACTAGGATAAGTATTCTCAAAGACCTATAATCACTCGAATCAATGCAGACATAGCTAAGAATAGAACACGATGAGAGTATAGGATCTATATTGGTGATACCAACTGGTTGCGATTAAGTGTTAATTGTTAGTGTGAGCTTAGGATATATCTCGTTTTATGGAGTCCATAGTTAAAGGTGAATTACGTATCAATATTTGAATGAAGTGGGCCTAATGGAGCAGAACTGAGAGAGGATTCATATCTCCTTCCCCAATTTGGGATTGAGGTATAGTTGATTGATCGTTAGATTAAATGAATAGAATTGGCACTTTTACGGTCACAGTTTAATGATCATTGTTGACGGGCACATGTATCAAAAAGGTGAGAGTTCAAGTTTCATCATGCTTAAATAGGAGTGGATCTTAAAGCGAGAGAATACCTTCGAGTAGTTTACACCTTCTTTAATGCAAAAGTGGATGTAATGGTACCTTTTTGAGGAACTTGTATTCTCTTTTAGGAAAGTGCATATCATTATAAGACAACCAATATTAGTGGATGCAAAGGTGCAGTGTTTACTTTTGTTTCATTTTTGGTGTTAACAGGGCTTTGTAATTGATGCTGAAACAGTGATAGATCCCATAGATGGGAAGGGAATTCTTTTGGTATCCTATAAATACACTTGCCTGCACTTCCATCTCTCAAAAAGTAGCGTGTGAGAGTTAAACTGGGGAAAAGGAAGTAGTGTTTTATATATTGCAGGGGTCATGAGGTCAAGTTCTTTTTGCTAACCAGTCTATACATATTATCTTTTAACCAAATATCATTCCTTTGAATTTAATGATAGCTCTGGTCATTACGATAGTCCAATGATGGCGAGATTGATATTGATACATACTATGTGCTGCCGCCAATAAACGTCCCTTGATCTTCTTTTCTGTTTGAATCTATTGTTGAGAGAAAAGCTAAATTGAACAACTGGGAAGGGTCACTTGTCAGCACAGAAAGTTTTTTTGGTAGTCAACACCTCTATTATGTCTTTCTTCCGTATTTGATAGTTGCATCCAGGATTGAGAGTATTATGCTGAATTTCCTCCAAGATGAGTGGAGAACTGTGGGAGAAACCATTTTCTTAGCCTGGATCACTGAGTAAATTCAACGCAATCCTCTCAATCCGGGATGCATCTCTAAGCAATACAGAATAAATGAGGAACTGAAAGTGCCTTCAGCATAATCCTCTCAATCCGGGATGCATCTCTAAGAAATACAGAAGAAACGAGGAACTGAAAGTGCCTTCTCCAAAACTTTGTGGTAATGGAAATTCTGGATAACAGCACAACATATACTCAAATCTAAATATTCCAGAAAACCCCCTAAATTTAGGATCTAGAAAGCAAAACATTAAAGATGATAGTCATTAGAAATTCAAGCATCATGCTATGCATAAAAGTTGCAAGTATTCTTGAGTATCACTTACTTTGAGTTCATCTTTGTCCTTCTGACTTGGAGTTTTCAGTTGAAGAAACTGGTTAAATTCAATTTACTATTATTATAGTAATTTATTATTTCGTAGTCACATTGATTAAAACACATTACAGTTCCTTGTAACCTAGAAAAGAGTTAGTGAGTCTGATAGTGACAAAGTACTCGGACATATGTCAATTAATGAAACCTTACTGTAAAGAGATATTTATCCCAATTAATGATGGTAGTTTTAGCCAGCTACTGTAGTGGATTTACTCCTATATTCTTTTTTGGCAGGAAGAGAAGGAACAAAAGATTCGTGAATTGACTGCCAAGTTAGATTGCATAAATCAACGCTCTGAAATTTATCGTGCCAATCTATTAGCAGTTTTGAAAGACATGGAGGAGCAGAAATTAAAGCTATCTGTGAAAGTGCAGAATGCACGACTTAGCTTAAAAGAGTGACTTCTTTCATTTTCTCGTTTCAATGCAGGAGAATGCTTGAAAGTTTTCTCTCACATTTTGAAGTTAGCTCTCATTCAGTCATTGATGAGAGTCAAGAAGATGAAATGTATATAGCCAGAATCTAGCTAGCATTTTTTTCCAGCAAGATTCTTGCAAGTAGGACGAGGGAGACTCCTGATTGCTATAATATAAAGGTTGCGAATAAGAAATTATCATTTTTTCTCGTTCATGCGTCTTTCTAATTTAACCTAAGATGCTATAATATGCACAAATTTACTCTTGCATTTGTTTGACACACTTTCAGAAACGGTAATCCTATCATCATTCAGGACTATGAAGAACTTTTTATTTTCTTTTTCTTCGTTTTGTGTTGAATTAACATAGTTGGTAGGATTTGATATGCTTATTCGAGTTTTGGATCCCTTAGTAGCTTATGTTATGTCAGTTGTTTGGATGCTGCTGGGGAAGTCTCTTTTAATTTATATAATAATGGGATTATGAATATGAGTACAAAGATTGAGTTGAGATGATATTTTTCCAAGGTATTCCTGCATAGCAACATATGGATAGTTTTGAATATATGCATGCATAGTTTCATCTGCTGATATCTCAGTTGTGTTAAATTATCTTTTAAGATTCTACAAATGTGCGAGACTGCTAGAATAGAGTGTTGAGATTGGTCTTTGTACGGTAGCCAACCATGATGTCTGGAGAAGCAGTACGAGTCCAGAACACCAATGTTATTTTTGGACACAGAGCACAAAAATAGGTGAAAAAACAATTGATGACCATTTTATGTATAGCGTATGGATTGCATGCGCTATACCTTAATGACACGTTTCTCCATTAAGGTATAGCACATGCAATCCATGCGCTATACTTCTTAATTAACTGACCAACAATAATTGGTGGGCATAGCGCCTTTAATTAATGCATTATACACTCACAATTATTGTACCCCAGCACATCTTTTTTGCTTATTTAAGAAGCTTCATACTTTCTTAGAAAATCCATTCCAAAAATTTCAGGCTTCTGCATCCTTTTTATTTTCCTTTACTCATTCCGAAATATTTGTTTAACTTTTTCTGCATTTTGCCATAATGTCTGAAAAACGAAAAATTAAGGTTTCATTATATTTGGGGGTGGGGGGTGGGGTGGTGGTGGTTAGGTTGTCGTGGAGAATAACTCAGTACACTATAGTTGTTCTCCACAGTGTATTGTTAAGTTGCCACTTACATTGGAGTACGATAGATTGATATCGTTGATATGTAAAAAAATGAGTGTGAGGAAACGTCCAGTTAATATTAAAGTAACCGGAAGATATCCATATTCTCTTACTTCGCAAGGGGTTGCTTGTTATGCTGAGTTTAACATCGAAGACGATGAAACTCTGAAAGATTTTTTGAGGATTCCGGATGAACACCGGAAACTTCTTGTGATAAAAATACTGGAAATGTACGTCAAGTCTGAAGACGTTCGCAATATTGAGATTCCGCAAAATAGGGATAACCCTCAATCATCGGCTGGTGTTTTTCGTGCAGTTTTATCCTAACAGATTTCTTTTGAAAGAGTTTGGCCAAACCTAAACTTATCACAACGGGAGAATGAAGAGCGAGGGCATAATTTCTCCGCAACTTTACATAATCCACACACCAAGTGGTAAATTTCAATTTTCCTTTGTCTTAGTATGTTTTTTTATGTATCATATTCGTACTAACACTCATATATTCCAAAGAGGGTACCGGCATGATATGAATTTTACAAGCTATGAACCAACGGAAGTTGGAGTATGTCCAATTTTGGTGTTTTGGATCATGGTGGTCTATCCGGGAGTCATCACAAACTCGATAATGTCCATCATGGGATTTCAACAAGTATGAATTGTAAGTTAAGAGATAAAGTTAATATATAATGTTGGGATGAATTTGAGAAACTCATTATTTTATTGGTTGTATAGTGAAAACGAGCAACTTGAAGGTCCCGTCATTACTCAGTTGTCTGAAGACGGTATATTTAATTAGGATCTGGCATATGCACAGAGTCAGGAAGATGATAGTGATTACGACAACAATGCTGATGAGTCTGGAGATGATACACCCTTCCCTGATGAGGGCGACGATGATGAGGAAAAGCGCTTTGCTGATGACAATGAGAATGAGCAACCTGATTTTCCGAGGGACCATGATGCCACCAATGAGCATGCTCCATATATGCAGACTCCACCTCCCGTTAGACCTGGAGTGTATAAGTCCCATGTGTCCTTTCATTCAAGGGTGATTCCCTACCTTGATCAGTTGCCCAATATGCCGGATGTGGATGCCCTCACAAGGGATCTTGCTGACATTTGGACAATAATATGGGATGAATCTAGACCAACGTTGCTGTCAAAGAATATGCTTTTAGCTGATAAAGCTCGCCTTAGTAGGGCGGTGTGAATGTACAACATAAAAGAGTGTCGTGAGATCGAGGTTCATGAGTCATTTCCGAAAGTATATAAGGTTATTTGTTGTAGATGGTTTCAAGGTTGTAGATGGATGCTGCGTGCAAGAAAGTTGAAAACAAATATGTGGATTGTGGGGAAATACATTGGCACCCACACTTGTGATATGGACACATTTAGTGGGAATCATTTTAACTTGAATGTTGACTTGATTTATCTTGCCTTGATTCCACACATTGAATCATCCATAAGGTACAAAATTAAAGAGTGTATAACATTTGTCCACCAGGTATATGATTGTACCATTAACAAAAGAAAGGCATTTCTAGGGCGTAAACGTGCGTTTGAGATTGTTATGGTAATTGGGATAAGTCATTTGCCGCTCTACCCAGGTACATGGCTGTTTTGAAACACTTTAACCCCAGGAATATTGTTGATTGGAAGCTTGAGAGGAGTCTAGGAATACTAGAATTCATATTAAGATATGTGTTTTGGGCATTTAAACCATCCATTGATAATTTTTTGCATTGTCGGTCGGTAATTTCCATAGACGGCACTCATGTCTATAGAAAGTATGATATTAAGATGTTGATCGCCGTTGCAGTAGATGCTAATGGAAGCATATTTCCCCTCGCATTTGCTATTTGTGCCAATGAAAGTCAAGAGACTTGGACATGGTTTTTGAACCACTTAAAGGAGCACGTTGTCAGACAAGGTTTAGGTATTTGTCTAATATCTGATCGGCATAAAGGTATTTTAAGTTCTGTACAGATTTTGGATGCATGGCAGGAACTGTACGCATACCACCGTTACTGTGTTAGGCACTTGAAGGCCAACTTCCAGCGGGCTCATCCGACCAAGAGCTTACATGATTTAATGTGGATTGCTGCAACAGATCATCAAGAGTGTAAATTCAGGAGGCGAATGGAATTGATTAGGCAGGAAGACCCAGAAGCTTATCGTTGGTTGATGCGACATGAGCTTGATAAGTGAACTTTGCACAAGGATGGTGGTAGAAGATGGGAAATTTTTACTACAAACGTGTCAGAGTCTTCAACGGGTTGTTGAAGTCTGCCCGTGGATTGCCTGTCACTGCCATGATGCGGATGTCATTCAAGCAAATGGCGAAGAGGTTTGTTGAAAGATCCCGAAGTGCATTGTCCTTGTAGGAAATGGGTGTTCAATTTATGCCATAGCCGATGAAACGATTTGAGAAATATAGGAAACGAGCACAGTGGCATACATTTTTGCAGTATTGCAACGAGCGAAATATTTTTGAAGTTCGCACTGGTCTGCATCAAATCTGCGAGAATAATACCCACACCATCAATGAATCCAGAAGATTATGTTCGTGTGGGAAATGGTCGATCTATTACTTGCCATGCTCACATGATATGAAGTGCTTTCAACATACAGGTTTTGCGGCGACGAGGTACGCTGATGAAGAATATAGTGTTGCTGCTTACGTAAACACCTATAGTGGCCACTTGCAACGCGTAGGTGCTGAGCATTATTCGCCGCCGGAACCATTCAAAATGGTGTGTAACCAGGATTATGTGCGTCACCGACAAGTGCAAAAAAGAACGTGGATATGGAACCAAATGCATGTTGGTGATACTGTTTATGCGCGTAAATGTGATATATGTCCCCAAACAGGACACGATCACCGTAAATGTCCTTTAGTTGGTTTGGGAAGTGGTGATAATTCAGCTCCCAGTGACAGTTCATCCAATGTGCCCAATTTTCAAGGATAAACTTAGTGTTTTGTTGCAGTATTTTTGTTGTACTAAATGTCTGTAATGGTGTTGTTTGCAATACTTATGAAATAAAATTAAGTTTCCAATAGGCTTAAATCTAATTGACATTTAGCATTAAAGATTCAATACACCAATTAAAAATAACTTCAACAAATAAATAACGATTTTCATTCGCCATTATCGTCACTGTCTGGCACTATTTCATTGTCATTGTCTTCATCTTCTTCGCCAACATCTTGTACGCATCCATCCGGACCGAGGGCATCACAATCTAGGTCCCAGTTGACACACATTTCTCGTATTTCATCACTATCATCAATAAGAAAACTTGTCTACAACAATATGGGACTCCTACGTCCAACGTCTGCGGTAGAAACTTAGGTAGTCCCTCCCACTCCACAACTGTTGGAAATACAAGATAATCGATGTCTCTATGCAATTTTTCATTTTCTAATAAATCCCAATACTGATCCTCCATTCTTTGCGGGTAGTTAAGATCATCCAGTGCATGATGAATAGCTAGTGTGCCTTTTCTATCTCTAAAATCTCCTTCATCAAATGCCGAACCACTTCTCGTTCATCTTTGTGTGTGTTTGTTTGGAAGGTTGCAGACAGTGCTTGTGGTACAACTAGCCCATGCCAAGGGCATTGTACTCATAATCACACCTTTTTGAGTAAAGGGGAACCTATTGTAGTTTTCACCTCAAATTCGCATACCTTAGGGCTTTGTAGAATGCGCTTCCCCCCTCAATAATGTGCCCTGCAACTTTGAGATCAGTGTATATATTGATAGACTTATTTTCCAAGGGACATAGAACAACATACCACTTGTCATCTACCATATCATTATAGCAACCTAGCATGTTTTTTTTTTCAAGGTAGGGATCGATTGTGTTATGACGTGGTCTATATGGATCTATTGATCTACCTTCACCTTTTTGCCTCTTCTTAAATCACTTATTAAATGTTAGTGGCATTTCGGAAATGGATGTTGTAATGGTTCTTGAAATGGTTTTTGATTACTGGAATGTTGGTTCAACTTAAGAAGAACTAAACTGCACGAACTTGTATGTTAAACGTAGTGCATCACCAATATACGTTATGTGTATTGTCATGCCAAACTGAAAAAGCTGCACCGACTTGTATCATAAAGAATCATTAG